GTTAACTGTACCAACAGTCGAAATAAAGTAGTAATCAAATTAACTCTGATTTCTTTTGTGGAGTTAAAAAAGTATTACAAAATATTTTGGTTAGCATGTTTTGTTAATTCCATATCTGACGTCTTTCCTTCCACTAGGAATTGTCATGCCCGAAAGTAGTATGTGGAGGCTGAGTGTTAAGGGGGGTAAAAATTTACCGACAGCCAAACATGGTGGAGCACCTGTAATCCCTCACTAGGGAGGCCGAGACAGGAAGAGTGCCATGAGGTCATGGCAAGGGTGAAAGACAGAAAGACCTGTCTCGAAAATTCAACAGTCAAGGATTATAGGATAGACCAGAGTTTATGCAGATTAGAATACAGTGTCAAGAGGAATCACAAAGGGTGATTTATAAGGGATTGAATAAGGGATTTAAAAGGGATTGAAGCTGGGGATATAGCTCAGTGGTACAGCATCTGCCTGGCAAGCACAAAGTCCTAAGTTCAGTTTCTGATACAAGAAAAACTAGGGATTGAAGATGAGGGAATAAATCTGAGTTAGCAAAAGTAAGTATCTCAGAGCCACTTTCCTGCTGGATGTGGTGGTGTATTCCTGTGATCCCAGCACTTAGGAAGCTGAGGCAGGAAGGTCACTGTGAGCTCAAGGCCAGCCTGATGTACATAGCAAGACCCTGGCTCAAAAAAACAGAGCAATCCATTTTCCAGGACGTCCTGTTCTTGTTCATCTTTCGGGAACATCTTCATTATATCTAAAGTTGTGCGTCAAGTTGCAAATTGACCAAGTCATTTACTTTATCCTCTCAGGGAGAAAGGTTTGTTTTTATCTCCTGCTGTTCTGGATCAGTGTTAGTGTGTTATCTTATGACTGCTTAGTGGAAGATTGCTGTAAAAGGGTGTTTTTACTGCCGCAGGGTTTTAACCCTTTTGTTGCCCGTGGATAATTACCACAGGAATCACTCTGGAGAGTGCAGGGTTTATTGTCCTCGTGTGTTCAGAACGCGCTTCTGCCGCGCATGCGCACATCCCTAAGCAGCCGGCTGCGTCGAGTCCAAGCTCCCCCGCTGTGCACGAGTAGTTCTAGATGGTCTGAGTCCTGCAGTTTTGCTTCATGCTCACTCAGGCGCGAGGCTCTTGAACAATAATGCGTTTCCTTCCTCTTCCTTTGTCCCTGAGTACACATAGCCTTCCATTGTGTGTGCTTCTCGTTGGCTCTCCATTTTATTTATATCCATTTTTCTGTTGAAGGACATTTGAGTTGTTTCCACTTTATTTTATTTTCAAGAATTTGGGGCTTTGTTTTAGGCCTCGTCAAATGTACTGCTTGGAAATTCCTGTGCACCTGTCCATCTCCTCTTGCACACATGCAGGATCTCTGCCTGGGGGCCAGGAGACAGCTGTTTTAAGTGCCTGCCTGGCAAGCACAAGGATCCGGGTTCAATCCCCGGTGCAGCATGCTGTGCTTGGCATGTGTGCCAGCCACCAAAACCAGGCATAGTGGGGCACACCTGTAACCCTAGCACTGGCAAGGCTGAGACAGGATCACTATGAGTTTGAACTAGGTAGCGAGACCCTGTACCAAATTAATTAATCAAATTAAATTAATTCTTTAAAAAGCGCTCTCTGCCTGAGAGAACATGTCTGCAGGGCCAGGGAAGTGTGCACCTTCAGCTTGATGAGACACAGCTGGTGGCTCTCCGAGTTGGCTCTACCAGTCCCTGTGCTGAAGAGCAGTGTCTGAAGGCTTTCCACAGTCTGTCCTTACTTGGCCTGTCGCGCTGTCGACTCTCTGCCAGGATCTTGAGGATGACAGAGCGCTTCATTGTGATTTCTTTTTTTACTTGCATTTTCTCAATCATTAAAATTAATACTTTTTATTTTCTTCTGATATATTTGGATTGCTTTTTGTGACTTGCCTGTTTGTACATTTTGCCATTTTATATGCATATTTTTCCACAGTTGAAATCATACTGTACGTACTTTTCTTTTGTGCATACCATTTCAAACCTGATACTCTACCCCCCCCACCCTTTGTAGTACTAGGAATTAAACCCACATCCTTTGTGCTGAGCTGCAGTCCCAGCCTTTTTATTTTTTATTTTGAAATTTGAGTTTCCTGGGCTTGAATTTGTGGTCCTCCTGCCTCAGCTTCCCAGAGTACTGGGATTACAGGTATGTACCACCACGTCTAGCACCCACCGCACCACTTTTTTGAGCAGCATACCTCCTAGCTGTAGATATTCTTCTACTGCCTGTCTTCTTAATGACAATTTTTGAGGATATAGTTTAGATAACTAAAAAAGCACCCTTTTAGTGTACAATTTAGTGATTTTAGTATATTTAAAGTTATGGAACTATCATGGATTTCAGAACATTTTCACCCTAAAAAGAAACTATGGACCCTGTAATAGTTACTACCCGTTCCCTCCCTGTCCCCAGGCCGCATCTACTTTTTATTCCTGTGGATTTGCCTTTTCTAAGCATGTCTAAACAGAATCATACACTATGTGGCTGTGTGTGACTGGTTTCTTTCATTCACAGCATGTTTCCAAGGCGCATGCACATCATAACATGCACCAAAACTTCATTGATTTTTATTAGGAAATAACATTATGGTGCAGATGGAGCACCTTTGTTATCACTCATGCTCTGATGAACGTTTGCGCTCTTTCCAGGTGGCTGCTGAATAGTGCTGCTCTCCACATCTATGTACAAATTTTTTCATGAACGTAATTTTCATTTCTCTTGGCAGTGTACCCAGACAGGTGTCTTAGTTCCTGTTCTCATTGCTGAGACAAAGAACCTGATCCCCGGAGTTAAGGGAAGCAATGTTTATTTAGCTCACAGTCTGTAGAGGTTTCAATCCGTAAGTGGCTGACTGCAAGGCAGAGTGGCATTACAGCAAACAGTTCATGGCAGGCAAAGACAACAAAAATGAGGAGGAGGAGAGATAAGACTTTCTGTCTCTCCAAGGTGGGTGTAGCACTCACACCCTTAATCCCAGCCGGCACTATGCCAGTGCAATCAGTGGACTAACTCACTGATCACACAGCCTGAATGCCAGCTTCACACACTATAGATTTGGCCACCTCTGAAAAAGCCCTGTGGCCACCTGTAGCTTTAGGAGGGGTCTAGACGCAAGCCATAAGGGTACGGAGTTGCTGGCTCAGATGATAGTTCTGTATTTGGTGTTTGGGAAATGGCCAGCCTTTTCCACAGCAGCCACACCATTTTGCTTTTGAGGAGGACTCTGGTTTCTCCACATCCTCAATCCTTGTTAGTCTGTCGTTTTGATTTTAACCGTGGTAGTGAGTGTAAAGTTATATGCCACTCTGTTTTGGTTTGTACTAATGATTAAAGATGTCTAACATCTTTGCATACTTAATAGCTAATTGTAATCATTTCTTGGGGGGAAATGTCTGTCTGTGTCCTTTGCCTACTTTGCGCCCTTCCTAGTCCTTAAGGGCCGTCTGTATGGTTGGTACCCACCGCCATCAGTTCAGCTGTGCCCTGTGGCCCAGCCCTTTCCCAGGATGCTGACGCCACCCTCTGCTTCCTCTGTCAGATCCTGGACTCAGAGCTCTTTGAGTTGATGCATCAGAATGGGGACTACACCCACTTCTACTTCTGCTACCGCTGGTTCCTACTGGACTTCAAGCGAGGTACAGTCTGCAGACAGGCTTGTCCCCAGACACTGTGCGGCTGAATCTCCGGAGGGCAAACAGGGTGGAGATGGGGCTGAGCGGGCCCTGGCACAAACACCAGGTTCCGACTGTTGGTGCACCTGCCTTGCCTTGGAGTGACACTGTGGAGGGTTTGTGAAGATCCCCACTGTAGCCAGCCGTGTTGGCACAGGCTTGAATCTCAGCACTGTAGGGACTTAAACAGGAAGATCTGGGCTTTGAGGTCAGCTCATGCTACAGAGTTCATGGCTATCCTGGACTACACAAGGAGACCCCTATCAAAAAATTTAATTAAAATTTAATAAAGACCCTCTCTTTCTAGATGAGAAAAATAAGACAGAAAAATCCAGTTCAGAGATAAGAATAATGAAGTGCAGATTGGAGCTCCCCTCTGTGTACTCCAAAGCCAAGTTCCCTTCCATTCTGTTAGGCTGTTCATCAAAGATACCAAGAAGTCTAGAGCCCATGGAGCTGGAGTTATTTCACATGTATTTTTCACATGACAGAGGAGTAATGTCACCTCTGAGTCCATTGCTATGGTGCAAACTTGGAATGATGCTAAGAGTCACGATAGCTAACATGTGCAGAGATGTTTACTCAGTGCTATACACCGCTGAGCCACTTCCATGTATCACGTCTGGTCCTTTACTACACCAGTGTCACCCTATTTAGAGGTTAGGGGGGTGGGGATATAGCTCCGTGGCATAAATGTCTGCCTGGCAAGTGTAAGTCCTTGAGTTCGATTCCTAGTACCACAAACAAATAAATAAATAAATAAAATTAGAGGTTAGGAAGAGTCTCCTGGAGAACTTGTGAGCCCATAGCCCCCAGCTAATTAGTGACAAAGTCAGGTAAGCCAAATTATTGGACATGGAATGTCCCATTCTATCCATTGCACTCGTCTGTCTCTTTACTGGACTCAGGCAGTAGCCAGCTCTATCGGCAGTTGGGGAGGGGCGCCACTGCACATGGAGGAACTAGTCAAGGCCCAAGGAAGGGACAGATCCATGCCCCTGAAACCTGCATATGTCCATTCTGCCCCTCACAGGATGACAGAGCTGGTGGAAGGAACTTAGAAGCCACCTGGTTTTCATGGCCCATTTTATAGATGGGGAGATGGGGCGATCTGAGGGTCAAGTAACAGTGTGCAGGTCTCTTGCCTCCTGGCCTGGTTCTGTCCCCAGCATTAGAGCATAGACACAAGTCCCGCTGGCCTGGGATTTTCCCTGAGGGACTCTCACAGGGGAGGGTGACGTCATGTACCTGCATGTTGGTATCTTCGTAGAACTCATCTATGATGACGTCTTCTCTGTCTGGGAGACCATCTGGGCGGCCAAACACGTGTCGTCTGCCCACTATGTGCTGTTCATCGCCCTGGCACTGGTGGAAGTCTACCGGGATATCATTCTGGAGAACAACATGGACTTCACTGACATCATCAAATTCTTCAATGGTATCTAAGGCCTGAGGTCTCATGCGGGTGGGGGCTGAGATGGACGCATAGAGAAGGAAACAGAGGAGACATCTGTCCACTCACTTCCTGTGGCTGTTTTCGGAAGTATAAGTTGATGTCCTCTAATAGTGAGGAGGTGTTTTACTCAAGAATCTGGCAGGGGGAAAATGAGTGTTGAAATCCAGCTCAAAGCCAGAGTGGCTGGACAGGCTGCCCCTGGGCCAGGCACTTATCCCCAGTATGCATTCCTGACCTCATCTGTGAAGTGGGGAGCAGCATCTGCTCCAGAAGGTTGAGGTGCCCAGGAAAAGCAGCCATTGGAAGGCAGTCCACGTGGCCTGGAAAGGGCTCAGCCATTGAAACCAGACAGGTGCGGGATCTGATGCCAGTTTGCTGTGTGACCTTGTCCAAGTGATTTTTTTCATGCCTGTGGGTCCCAGATGCCTCAGAGCTAGAAAGAGGCAGACACCCCTCTCTTGCAAGGAAGTTCACAGGATTAAAAGACACGGCTTGAATAAGTCTCATCATCTGGTACCAGGCCCATAGTATGGGCCCAGTAAATGAATAATGCTATTGCTACTATTGTCAGTATTTTTTTCTTTAAAAAGAGCTCTAGAAATACCAAAAAGAGAAAAAAGAAAACAAACAAACAAAAAAAATTGGCAGTTGTGGGGGGCCTTCTGGTTAGCTCAGTTGTTTAAGCACCTGCTCATGCAAACACAAGTCAGGTGCAGAGGACCGCGGTTCAATCCCCAGCTCCACATGCCTTATCAGACCTGCCCTTAAGGCAGCTTGAGCCAGCCCAAAAAAAAAAAAATTTGAGATGGCTCAGTAGAATAAGCACTTGCCTGGCAAGCGCAAGGTCCTAAATTCAATCCCCAGTTCCACAGGGGGGAAAAAAATAGCTTAGCAGATTAAAGCACCTGCTGGCAGGTGCAGGGGCCAGGGGTTTGATCACTGGACCTGCCATGCTGCCCCCCCCAGGGCATGCTGGGTGTGGTGGTCCATGCCTATAATCCCAGCACTTGGGAGGCTATAAACAGGAGAATCACTACGAGTCTGATCTAGTAGTGAGACCCCAAACGCCCTGTAGACCCTTCCCTAAAATACAGAAGAAATAATAATAATAAATAAACAGCAGCTGTGACCTCACCTTTAGAACATTGTATTTTAAGTATACTTTTTATTTGGGAATAATTTTTCTTTTATTCATCAGAATTTTGGCTTTAGAATTTTTTAGATTTGCCAAAAAATTGCAAAACTACCTCCAGAGACTTCATGATACCCTTGGCCCAGTTTAAATTACAGTTAGTGTTGTACATGATCCTAGCACATCGGTCAAAACTAAGAAATTAATGTTAGAGTGTTGCTATTTACTAAATTATAGACTTTATCTGAATTTCATCTGGTGTGTCACAGATGCTTTACTGCTCCAGGAACCAGGGAGAAAAACAACAATGCATTTCATGAGCTCTTTTTTTTTTTTTTTTTTTCAATCAGCCAGCCAGGAGTGGTGCTTGCCTGTAATCCCAACTACTTGGGAGTCTGAGGCAGAGGATTACAAGTTGAAGCCAGCCTAAGCAATTCAGCAAGCCCCTATCTCAAAAAGGCTGGTGTGATAGCCTGTACTCAATAGTAGAACGTTCCTTTGCTCAGCCTGTAGCCCTGGAAAGATAATCCATTCATCCAGTCTTTTCTACAACCACAGTTTTATGTTTTTACCATCACAGAATCCAGCTGTGTATTTTTCCCACTTAATATTTCAAAAGTCATGTTCCATAATAGTAAGTGTTCAAGACTATAGATTATGCCAGGTGTGGTGGTACATGCCTGGAATCCCAGTGCTTAGCAAGCTGAGGCAGGAGAATCACTTAGAGTTTGAGGGCGGCCTGGGCTGCATAGTGAATTCAAGGTCATTCTAAACTGCGTAATAAAATCCTGTCTCAAACAAACAACAACAACAATAAAAGACTTCAGACTATATCCCAAGTGGCTGTTTTATAAATTCTTGAATCATCCCTTATCATTGAGCCTCTCATTGAAACCCCCAAATCAAATCTTAGAGTAGAGGTTCTCTAGCTTTTTCAGTTCATAGTATACCTGACATCTCTGCAAAATTTCCACAGGGACCTAGGCCCAAAGCTCCATTTAGTAAGTAAGTGGGTCCAAACCACTTAAGAAGCTTTTATGTCATAACAACTTAATAGCTATTTGGAAAAAAGATACACAGTAATTGAAGGAAAAAGCCAGGTGTGGCAGCACAGGCCTGTAATCCCAGTACTCTGGGGCCTGAGGCAGAAGGATCACAAGTTCAATTCATCCTAAACAGCTTAGTGAGATGCTGTCCCAACACTTAAAAATAAATAAAAAGGCTGGGTGGGCCGGTGAGATAGCTCAGCGGTCTAAAGCCCCAGCTTAGGCAAGGGCGGGTGCAGGGACTGTGGTTCAACCACATGCTGTGCCGCCCCCGCCCCCAGGGGAGGCTGAGCCAGCCACAAAAAAAAAAAAAAAAAAAAAAAGATACTCAAAAAAAAAAAAAAAAAAAAAAAAGAATTTTTTAAAAGAAAAATGTGGTTATTTCATGTTTCAGAAGTACAGTGACTTCTTACAGAACTGGCGCCCTTCATGGCCGGTGTGTAGCCCCTCCAGCCTGCTGCCCTGCTGCTCACATCCTCTTTATAGCCTGTGCCACTGCCGCGGGCACCGCCGAAAGCCTGCCTAGCTTAGTGGGGATGCAGAGCCATGGGTCGGAATGTGCTGCAGATTCATTTCTGTAGTACTCAGCAGATGTGGGGTGTCACCATAGTTCTCTCCAAATTCCTACATGTCCCACAATATCATAGTAAGTTCGCTGTGAACCTGGGAGTATGGTGCAGGCGTCCTTCACACCTACTTTGAAAACCATGTTCTTAGTGACTTTTTCCTTTATTAAATGGTTTATTTAAGAGTCGGGGAGGGAGGGAACTACCTGCTCGGGACCTCCCCCTCCTGTCCGTCTCTCAGGACAGGAGCTTTCTTTCTCTCAATAAATATATTCTGCTCATAAAAAAAAAAAAAAGAGTCAGACATAAGGCACATGTCTCTAAACTCAGCAGTTTGAGCGGCTAATGTGCAAAGACTGCAAGTTCAAGCCCAACTGGGGCAATCCAGCAAGTTAAGACCATCTCAGAATTTAAAAATGTAGTCAGGTGAGGTAGTGTGTGCCTGTAATCCCCACACTCAGGCTGAGGCAGGAAGGTTGCCGTGAGTCCAAGCCCAGTCTGGACTACAGAGAGTTCAGAGCCAGCCTGAACTGCATAGAGAGACCCTGTCTCAACAAAAAAAATACATATATGTATATTTAATTTGAAAAGGGCTGGGATATAGCTCAGTGTGAGAGCCCTGTGTTCAGCTGCCAGTGCTGCAAAAATAAATGGGTGGATGGATGTAAAAGTTTGAAAATTCTGTGTGGCTGTTGATAAAATTATTTTTGCTTTTCTCTTTTTCTTTCCTCTTTCCTCTCTTTCTTGCTTCTTTCTGTCACTTCCTTCAGCTCTGTAAAATCTTTAAGCATCTGCTGTGTGCCTGGCTTTGCTCTTTTCAGAGGTTCCCGGTCATTCTCAAGGGAGAAGAATGGAAAGACCTGAGCTTTTTAAACATACACTGAAGCAGCATTGTCATATTTGGTCTCCACCATAACCCTGTGTGGTGGTCACTGTGATCATACCCATTTATAGACAGGGAAACTGAGACCTGGAGGCGGAGGCCTTCTCCTGGGTCTCTGCTTGCAGGTCCAGTCTGTGCTAGGGATGGCCAGAGGGCAGACACAGGTGGAGCTCACAAGGTTCACTCTGTGCTCTTGCAGAAATGGCTGAGCGGCACAACACAAAGCAAGTCCTGAAGCTGGCCCGGGACCTGGTGTACAAGGTGCAGACGCTGATCGAGAACAAGTGAACATGCCGTGTCCTGACCGCACCGCCAGCCACCAGCTGCTGTCCTCCTGCCCCCATCCCTTGTGCCAGCCCAGCCCGGCGCAGGGTCCTGGCATCTGCCTACGTGGACTTCTGTGTAGAGAGAAGAGACCCTGACCTTGGCCATTGGGAAAGTGGGGTTAACCGGGGACCCTTCAGTTCAGCCTTACGTTTTTCGTTTGACCAAAGATTGCCCTAGTCTGGAGTTCTCCCTCGCAGACTGGAGATGGTAGGTGAATGGAGGAAGTGTCTTCCTCCCCACTGTCCTCCTCTTTCTTCTGGCCTTCATCTTTTTTGATGAGGCCAGGGTAAGTTATTCCTTAGGAAATTGGTATCAGAGAGATCTCTGGGACTCCCCTTGTCCCTTGGAGGGCCTCTGGGCAAGTTCTAGAACCTGCCTGCAAGCCTGGCTCTGAGCAGCGTTGTCCCCCTTCAACACTGCTGACTGGAAGCCAGAGAATAGCTTGTACTGAGAACTGTCCCATGCCCTGGAGGATGGTAAGCAGCTTCCTGGCTGCTGCCCACCAACTGCCGGTGGAACCTCCCCTGTTCTCACCCAGGTGTGACAGCCAGCCCAGTTCTCATTGTAGAGTTCCCCTCTGTCCGCCTCCCCAGTTTAGAAAATGCTCACAGACCCTTCACGCATCCCTGCTGGATCCCAGGGTCCAGGGGTTGTGTTTGCTTATTTTTCCTCCTTTGTCTGATGCCAGGAGATACTTTTTTCTTCTTTTCAAGAGAAGCACTTTCCTGCTTTCAGAGTGGAACCTGAGAGGTGTCTGTATGCACAAGATAGTCTAAAGCACTTTGAGGTCCTACCTGGAGCTGAGGCAGGGCCTCACTTCTGAGGAAGACCTCACTTCCTGTCCACATACCAGGGGGCTACAGAGACTTGGGGAGTTATGTGTTGGTGGCTACTCCTGGGCTTTTCTGTAAGCACCTTTACTCAGGATAAAGGAAGAACTAACTAGATGGGGACTACGAGGTGATGTTGGGAGGTGTTTTCCCTGGGAAACGTGCTTCTCTGAGGCTGCTACCAGAGCTGGGCCTAGGGATTGTCCCCTTCATGCAGGGGCCATTCATCCCCAGACAGATACTGAGTGAGCTAGGACATGCCTACCTGGCCCACCAGGGAGTTTCCTGGCCACCTTTCCTGCTCAGAGAATGTCCCAGCGGGAGGACAGCAGGAGGTGGGAGGAAGCTCAGGTGGTCCGAGTGACTGCTGTGGTTTAGAGAGTGAGCAGCCAGGGAAAGCAGATTGAAGCACTGGCAGAGGGCATCGCTCAGTTCTGGACTGGGTGGGCCCTACCCAGCGAGCTGCCACTTCCACTGCATCTGAGCCCCACACTTGGCCCGGAGGGACGGAATGGACTGCGTCCCGGAGGGAGCTGTGGAGCTGTGAGAGGCCTTGTGGGCAGGAAGGGACAGTGACGGCTTCTGCCAGGATCTCACCTCTGCCCCTGACCCCTCAACTTCCCAAGACAGGAGAAAGACCCGTCAGATAAGCCTTTATTTGCCACTCAGCTGTGGACTACAGAGGATGTTATTTTAGCACGACCAGGGCTCAGGCCCCAATTGTTACTTATTTTTGTAACAGACCAGTTTCAGAGTATAGCACAAGATCTCCTCTCTGCCTTCCCGTGTGGTGTTCCGAGAGCGTGTGTGGTTGTGGTTTGCTGTGAAGCGTACTTACTTTGTGTAATGTGCTTATGCAGACCTCTGTCCTTTGTGTCTGTCCTTGTGTCTTGGAATTGAGTGTGTGAAAGTCATTCTGCCTATGGAGTGCCCTCTTTTTTCAGTGTTGTAAATGTTTACTGAAGAATTGTATCTATATAGAGAAAATAATATATGAGCAGAGAAAAATGAATCTGCCTTTTTATTTGAAAGAAAAATGTTTCTGGGGCTGGGAAGATAGCTCAGTAGAATAAGTGCTTGCCTGGCAAGCGCAAGGGCCTGAGTTCAATCCCCGGTTCCACCAAAAAAAAAAAAAAAAAAAAAGTTTGTTTCTGAAGACTTGTGTCTTCCGACCCCTGCGCATCCCATGCCCACGTGGGATCGGGACCCCATGATGGCTGTCTGCCTTTTCCAGAGAAGTCAAGGTCAAGGCCAAGGGAGATGAGTCACTCCTCCTTGCATGAGTTAGCTGTTAGCTCCAGCACTGCTGTGTAACAGAGCACTCGAACTGTGGTGTAAAGGAGACCTTTACTTAGCTTCTGATTCTCTGTATCAAGAATCTGCGCTGAGTACCCTGCACAGTTCCTCTGGTCTTGGCCAGCATTCTCCACGGTTCTGGGGGCCCCCGGCAGCCTGAGAAGCAGTTCTATGGCGTTTGGCTGATGGTCACCTGGGGCGTTGGGGAAAAATGGGTCAAGTATGTTTCATCATGCAGCAGGCTGGCTCAGGGTTGCCTTTAGGACCAGGATGGTGGATTCCAGGAGAGCAGGCAGAGGCGTGCAGCACTTCTGGAGGCCATGTCTGCCTCATTCTGTTGGTCAGTGTCAAGTTCAAACATGGAGAAATGCACTCCATTTCCTGATGGGAGGCTTTGAATAGCAGTATTGAAAAAGAGCAGGAGGCTGGGTATAGTTGGTGCACACCTGAAATCCCAGCACTTGGAGGCTGAGATAGAAGAGTTGCTCACAGTTTGAGGCCATCCAGGACTGCAAAATGAGTTCAAGGCCTGAACTGCATAGTAAAATCCTGTCTCAAAAAGAAAAAGATATAACCAGGAGGCAGGGTCATACAGTTAGCTCTCCAGGGGCTCCAAGTCTGCAGATTCAACCAACCTCAGATGCAAAATAAGTGGAAGAAAATTACACCTGTACTAAATATGTGCAGCCTTTTTTCTTGTCATTGCCTAAAGAACACAGTGCGGCAGCTATTCTGATAGCACCTGCACTGAAACGGTGATGCACACCTATAATCCCAGCACCGTGGAGGCTGAAGCAAGAGGATGGCTGCAAGGCCAGTCTTGTTTTGTTCTGTTTTTCCTTTAGCACTGAGAATTGATCTCGACCTTCACACTGACCTACACCTTCAGCCCTTTTTTTTTTTTTATATTGAAACAAAATCTCATGAAGTCACCAAGTTGCCCAGGCAAGGCTTGAACATGCCATCCTCTGGCCTCAGCCCTCCAGAGTGCTGGGCTGATAGGCATGTACCAGCACTGCACCCAGCAGTTTGCCTGGATTAAAGACTCCTGGGGGATGACGGGATTGTAAGGGCACTAACATAACCAGTGGGTTCACCCAGCCTGGCTGTGCCCCTCCCTTCTGCCCTGATTTTCTGTTTGGAGCCAGCTGACCATAGACTGAAACGGGATGGGGAGGGTCCAGTAAACCTCTGCTCCTGTAAGTTGTAAATGCTGGGTACTTCATCTTAGCAGTGGAAAGCTAAGTGATACAGTGGCTGCCATGCAGGCCAGCGGCATCAGGCAGTGAGGACCCCAAGGTCCTCTACCCTCAGCAGCCTATTCTGGCAAGCAATCTTCAATACTTCAGGTTTTCTGTAGAAAGAGCCCTCCAGATGAGAGGTCAACATAGAGGCTCACAAGTGGTCTTGGGGAGGTTCTCAGTGAGGCAAGCCAGAAGCCATGTGGCTGTGGGCAGGCAGGCATTTGTACCTGGGCCTGCTCAGCTGGGGTCTTCTCTTA